AAATATAATTAATTTTTACTTCAGTTTAAAAACTTTATCTCCCACAGGCATTTTTGTTTTCTAATTTTTTTACAAAAGGCAAAGAAAAGAAATAACACAATTTTGTATATTCACCACAAATGCTACCCCATAAGCCATGCATGTCATAAGAGGAATAAATGCCAAAAACAAGGGGCTAAAACCCAAATTTTTTTTTGGTGATTTAAAACTTTTTTTTTTTTTTGGTTCAAAATTTTTTTTTAAAAAAATTTTTTACAAAACCAAAGCTGTTTTTGGGGGAGGAGAGTTCAGAGTTCCGAAAAGACATATAACCTACCAGTATACAAGGTAAGAGAAAAATACTTGTGAAATCGTAAAATTTAATTAGTAAAGATGTATTTTTCTTTTACTATTTTTTTTGGGGACCCAATGTGGAAAGGCTCCAAAACCCCATCTAGATGCAAAAAATAACTAATGGGAAACTCTTTACATCCTCATGTAACAAAATCAACTTTTATGCCCCCCAAAGGCATACATTCACTTCAAATGAATCCCTTTCCCCAAAAGATAATCTCACTTCCCAAGGGGAGTGAGATGAGATCTCATTCTTTTCCCAAAAGGGGAGTGAGTGAGATGGAAGCTGTGTATTTCCAACATGGCAGCAAGGGGTTTCATTTGCTAAAAAGTTGGAAAATGACTTTTTTGACCTTACTTTAAAAAAATCCGTAAAAAAGCTATGAAAATACAGCAAAACTCATAAGAGTTAAGTTTTAAATTGCCCAAAACTATCCATACTTGAACAATCCAAATCCCCCGTGTTCCGGGTTTTTGAACGGTTAATGTGCTGCAAAATTATTTGGTAAATGAAACAGTATTGTATTTTTATATATGGTAAGGTATGGGTATTAAATAAAAAGCATATTTTTCTTTGTTCTCTCTTTCCGTGGGGTGTTTTAATGTGAGAAGGCTTAAACCAAAATTTAATGCACTGCTGGTACGTATTTCTGGTGTAAACCTGATTACTTCTCATTCCCCCATGCAATGTATGACACTTATGGGCTCGACTAACAGCTTTTCAGTACAGTGAAACCCCTTAATAATGGACTAATAGGGATGGGGGGAGTGTACGTTTATTGCCCGTTGTCCATAGATTCCAAGTTTTTAAATTCTTTTTCATGATTTTAACTTTTAATGGGCAAAGTTTGGGGAATCAGTGGGCTTGGTCCATTGATTCAGAAAACTACTGCAGAATACATGTAATCTACAAATGCACCACTCTCCCCTTTTTTTTTTTTTATACTGCGCACACTGACCATGAAGACCCTTTTCTCTCCAGGAACCTCCCGTTTTTCCCTGTTTGATTTGAAGCCCTTAAAAATTTTGGGCGTATTAGTACGTCAAACACTTTGGCCGTAAAAGTATATAGTATTTGACCGAAACAGAAAAGGGTTAATCGTGAATCCCACACACTCTTTTTTAAAAATGCTGAAAAATTTTGTTGGTTTATAAACCTTTTGGTTGTTTTAGAACAGGTACTATACTTTTTGTCACGTGTACCTTTAATCTAATAACACATACATATACTTTTGTACTTGGAACTTTTCAGTCAAAATTTAAAATTTGTCCAGGTAAAGAGTAATTTATATTTTTTAAAGGGTTTAAATTCAGCTTTTGCTCGGGAAATTTGGGATGAACATGAAAATAAGTAGTTTTACTTGTTTAAAATTGAACTTTTATAAACGGCAAGTTTTCCTTTTTTTATGCCCAAATTTTTATGTTAATTTAAACCCTTTCGGGGCCCAAAGGGCCCAAATCTGGAGTCACGCCCCGTGTCCAAAAATTTTAAAAAAAAAAAAAATTTGTTATTTTTTTCTTAGAAATCGGAGAATTTTTTGTAAAGGAAATAAAACAAAAAATACGAAATTTGGTGGAAAATTTACGAAATTAGCTCTCGCGAATTTTGTGGTCAGCGATGTTTCGAATTGGCGATTTTGCCGACTTTGACTCCCATTTTGCTATTTCCCCCCTATATTTCTTTTTATTCATCGATTGAGACGAAATCGCCAATCAAATGTTTCAACTACAAAATAAATGATCGGAAATTGTTAATTGGCCAATTTTAAAACAAAGTTCAAAATATTCCCAAATTTCAAAATAGGGTCAGAAAAAACAATGTGCATTCCTGGCACTAAAAAACTTTTTCCCCTGTTTATTTGTTTGTTTGAGGCTTTACAAATAAAAATTTCCCTTTTTATTTTTTATTCACATAATGAATTTTATTCACACCAAAAAAATAGAAGATTTACTGTTTTGCAATACGTAATATTGATAAATATTCAATATTTGTGAATGTATATTGACCCACCCGGACGTGTATTGACGGTTTGGGTTGTTTGTTTACTCTTGAATACGGAAAAATTTAAAATTTTCCCCTACTTTTGAGCTCATTTTTTAAACCTTTCCCGTGTAAAACCAAAGAAAAAATCTCTATTTCTGTAATATGTCTTCCATTCTATCAATAGACCAAGAAAACGCAAATACAACTATAAAAAACATACGAAAAAAAAATGCAAAGTTGCTGTTTTTTTCGAAAATCATAATTTCAGTTTTTTTCTGTCATTATACACAGTGTGCTGCAGGATCTGTTTTATGTGGTGCACACATACCACATAGATGTATTCTCTCATATCTAGGCCCAAATGTACCACTCACAGTTTATCAGAGTGAGCTGAGCTCATGGCGTAGATCTACGGTTTGGACACTCACCGTAAAGCCGTAGATCTACGGGACGGACCCTGAAAGGGTTAAAGGAAGAGAGTATAGAAGAAAGTAAGAAAGATAGAAAAGTGAATATATTCTTCTTTTTTCAACAAACTGCTGTATCCCGCCAAAACAGGGTGGCCCATAAATAAAAAAGTTTCTCTTTTTAACTTTAGTAATGTATACAGGAGAAGAGGTTATTAGCCCCTTGCTCTTGGCATTTTAGTCGTCTCTTATGACATGCATGGCTTACAGAGGAAGAATTCTGTTCCACTTCCCCATGGAGATAAGTAAATATATATTTGTTTGCAATGTGTGTTACTGGGTGTGTACGTATTTGGAAAAAAATCCAAATTTTCAAAAAAGTAAATATAACCCCATAGCCTGGCTAGCAAAGCTCTCGTGTCACACACACAGGGCCCGGGTTTGATTCCTAGCGGGGTAGAAACATTTCGATGCATTTCCTTACACCTGTTGTCGTGTTCACCTAGCAGCAATTAGGTACCTGGGTGTTAGTCGACTGGTGTGGGTCACATCCTGGGGGAGAAAATTGAGTACCCCAGTGGAAATAAGTTAGGCAGTCCTCGATGACACACTGACTTTCATGGGTTATCCTGGGTGGCTAACCCTCCGGGGTTAAAAATCCAAATGAAATCTTTTCTTAACTCTAAATATACTATATTTATAAAGTTATTACAATAACTGTTTACATAAGTAAATTTATTTAGGCACAGGTACACACAAGTACAATTATCATACATAGTGTAAATTACCTAGGATAACCCAGACAAGTCAGACAAAGTGACTTATTTCCATTTGCAAAATGGGTGTCCATACATGTAAAACTGTCACCTTGTATTAAATTATCATGATGAAAGATGTGACTTTGTGAGGAAATGTAATGGAAGTTTGGTTAAAGACAAGCAATGGTGAAACTTTGTTTCATCTCTAAATTATAACAGTGGTGTATCTATCTTTTCTTGTATAATTCAGCAAAATAGAATGTCCCATATTTGAGCAACACAGGAAAAATGTATGTAGGTACCGAGCACAGGCTCTCCATTAATGCTAGGTAACATAAATTGCTAAGCTGCCTTCTTTCCCATATTTATCTTTTAGTATGAAATGAAGTAACTCTGCTAAATTGAATTCATCTTTATGTTTATATTTAACATTAGAGCAAAGGGTTGAAGCCCCAGTATTTAAGACATGAGAAGATAAAAGAGGTAAGAAAAGACTGACAGGTCATTAAAAGAATTGCAATGAGACTTCTCCTCAAAGAATATGATGGTAATTAAAATCACCAAACAACTTAACCGGTGTGGATAAAAATGAAACCTAAATCCACAGCATGTTGAAATATGATGGACATGAAGGAGAGAGGCATAAGTAATTATGGAATGTAATCTACAGTGTAGTGTAGTATAGTTTGAACATTAAATCTAGTTCACAGAATTGTGAAGCATTATTGGAGAAGTGAAGGCCAGAAACACAAGTTGAATACTGTTGAAATAATATTGTCATCATTTCTTGGAAGGATATTAGGTACTCACAAAGGACTGAGAGGTGAAAGTTGCAAAATAAGCTGTTATGCCTTCAGTTATCTTTCATCTTCAAGGAAGAGGAAAGTGGTACATATTTAGCTCTCAGATGAACTTATAATAAACAAGAAACCAAGTGGGTTTATTTTCTCTAAAACCTGTTTGATGCTTGTCAATAAAGTTTCCAAAGACAATAAAAATTAGCAATTGATTAAAGTGAATCAAGGGTGAATCTCCTGTCTTGAAGATCATTATGCATGATCATTATGCACATTGTGGCTGTGCTTAGTGTCAACAGCTGCAGCTACACTGGCATGGGAATGTAAGCCAGTGCAGCCCTTGGTGGCTATGAAGGCTTCACTCCTCCAACAAGTAAACATGTCTGCTCATGAAAGGAACTTAGTATACGTATAGTATGTCTAAAAGTATGATGATCTTGACATGCAACAGTGATTTTGAAACTGTACTGTACATTTTTTCTTTGCACTTTATATATAAATTTTACCATGTTTTGCCTTTCCTCTTCCTTTATACATAACATCAGCAGTCATCATATGCCCATGTTTGACCCCCCCACGCTCTTGTCATTTCAGCATTTCAGTAAGAATATAAATATGAAAAAGAGTATGGACTTACTGTAGCATGTAATTTTATGTGTTGTGTGTACAGTATAGTATTGGTAAAATGAGTTTGTACATCTGTTTTCAGATCCTTGTTGGGGGAGTAATAACGTTAACTAGCTCAGTCGTTTCTATAGTTTACATCATTGGTCTACCCTACTATTGGCAGAAATCACCGATACTCTCCTGTTTTCTAATTGTACTAGGACACTGGTTGTTAATAATGGCAGCAATTACTGACCCAGGTACACCTCCAAAGGTGAGTTAATTTATGCTTAATTCGTAGTGCCACATAAAATTCATAGTGCCACATAAAATTCATAGTGCCACATACAATTCATAGTGCCACATAAAATTCATAGTGCCACATAAAATTCATAGTGCCACATAAAATTCATAGTTCCACATAAAATTCATTGTGCCACATAAAATTCATAATGCCACATAAAATTCATAGTGCCACATAAAATTCATTGTGCCACATAAAATTCATAGTGCCACATTCATAGTGCCACATAAAATTCATTGTGCCACATAAAATTCATAGTGCCACATAAAATTCATAGTGCCACATAAAATTCATAGTGCCACATAAAATTCATTGTGCCACATAAAATTCATAGTGCCACATAAAATTCATAGTGCCACATAAAATTCATGGTGCCACAAAATTCATAGTGCCACATAAAATTCATAGTGCCACATAAAATTCATAGTGCCACATAAAATTCATAGTGCCACATAAAATTCAGCATGTACTGTAATCCATCTTAATGAATAATTTTAAGACAAATTTTCTACGATTAATTAATTTTGCTGACACAGACACTGCAAAGCTCCAGGCGGACATCAACCAAATCTTTCAGTGGGCTGCAGAAAACAATATGAAGTTCAACGATGAGAAATTTCAATTACTCAGATATGGTAAACATTTTTTTTTTTTTTTTTTTTTTTTTTCAACAAGTCGGCCGTTTCCCACCGAGGCAGGGTGACCCAAAAAAGAAAGAAAATCCCCAAAAAGAAAATACTTTCATCATCATTCAACACTTTCACCACACTCGCACATTATCACTGTTTTTGCAGAGGTGCTCAAAATACAACAGTTTAGAAGCATACACATATAAAGATACACAACATATCCCTCCAAACTGCCAATATCCCAAACCCCTCCTTTAAAGTGCAGGCATTGTACTTCCCATTTCCAGGACTCAAGTCCGACTATGAAAATAACCGGTTTCCCTGAATCCCTTCACTAAATATTACCCTGCTCACACTCCAACAGATCGTCAGGTCCCAAGTACCATTCGTCTCCATTCACTCCTATCTAACACGCTCACGCACGCTTGCTGGAAGTCCAAGCCCCTTGCCCACAAAACCTCCTTTACCCCCTCTCTCCAACCCTTTCGAGGACGACCCCTACCCCGCCTTCCTTCCCCTATAGATTTATATGCTTTCCATGTCATTCTACTTTGATCCATTCTCTCTAAATGACCAAACCACCTCAACAACCCCTCTTCTGCCCTCTGACTAATACTTTTATTAACTCCACACCTTCTCCTAATTTCCACACTCCGAATTTTCTGCATAATATTTACACCACACATTGCCCTTAAACAGGACATCTCCACTGCCTCCAACCGTCTCCTCGCTGCTGCATTTACCACCCAAGCTTCACACCCATATAAGAGTGTTGGTACTACTATACTTTCATACATTCCCTTCTTTGCCTCCATAGATAACGTTTTTTGACTCCACATATACCTCAACGCACCACTCACCTTTTTTCCCTCATCAATTCTATGATTAACCTCATCCTTCATAAATCCATCCGCCGACACGTCAACTCCCAAGTATCTGAAAACATTCACTTCTTCCATACTCCTCCTCCCCTGGTCAGGGAGGTATACCATCTTTTAGGAGTGAAGAAGAGCAGAATGTAAGTGTGGGGGAGGTACGTGAGGCATTACGTAAAATGAAAGGGGGTAAAGCAGCTGGAACTGATGGGATCATGACAGAAATGTTAAAAGCAGGGGGGGATATAGTGTTGGAGTGGTTGGTACTTTTGTTTAATAAATGTATGAAAGAGGGGAAGGTACCTAGGGATTGGCGGAGAGCATGTATAGTCCCTTTATATAAAGGGAAAGGGGACAAAAGAGACTGTAAAAATTATAGAGGAATAAGCTTACTGAGTATACCAGGAAAAGTGTACGGTAGGGTTATAATTGAAAGAATTAGAGGTAAGACAGAATGTAGGATTGCGGATGAGCAAGGAGGTTTCAGAGTGGGGTAGGGGATGTGTAGATCAAATGTTTACATTGAAGCATATATGTGAACAGTATTTAGATAAAGGTAGGAAGTTTTTATTGCATTTATGGATTTAGAAAAGGCATATGATAGAGTGGATAGAGGAGCAATGTGGCAGATGTTGCAAGTATATGGAATAGGTGGTAAGTTATTAAATGCTGTAAAGAGTTTTTATGAGGATAGTGAGGCTCAGGTTAGGGTGTGTAGAAGAGAGGGAGACTACTTCCCGGTAAAAGTAGGTCTTAGACAGGGATGTGTAATGTCACCATGGTTGTTTAATATATTTATAGATGGGGTTGTAAAGGAAGTAAATGCTAGGGTGTTCGGGAGAGGGGTGGGATTAAATTTTGGGGAATCAAATTCAAAATGGGAATTGACACAGTTACTTTTTGCTGATGATACTGTGCTTATGGGAAATTCTAAAGAAAAATTGCAAAGGTTAGTGGATGAGTTTGGGAATGTGTGTAAAGGTAGAAAGTTGAAAGTGAACATAGAAAAGAGTAAGGTGATGAGGGTGTCAAATGATTTAGATAAAGAAAAATTGGATATCAAATTGGGGAGGAGGAGTATGGTAAACATGAGGAAATTAAATCTTCATCAGAGTACAAAACAAATTTTGGCCACAAAATAGAGCGAAACACCAACGTCAAAGACCTGGGAGTGATCATGTCGGAGGATCTCACCTTCAAGGACCATAACATTGTATCAATCGCATCTGCTAGAAAAATGACAGGATGGATAATGAGAACCTTCAAAACTAGGGAGGCCAAGCCCATGATGACACTCTTCAGGTCACTTGTTCTATCTAGGCTGGAATATTGCTGCACACTAACAGCACCTTTCAAGGCAGGTGAAATTGCCGACCTAGAAAATGTACAGAGAACTTTCACGGCGCGCATAACGGAGATAAAACACCTCAATTATTGGGAGCGCTTGAGGTTCCTAAACCTGTATTCCCTGGAACGCAGGAGGGAGAGATACATGATTATATACACCTGGAAAATCCTAGAGGGACTAGTACCGAACTTGCACACGAAAATCACTCACTACGAAAGCAAAAGACTTGGCAGACGATGCACCATCCCCCCAATGAAAAGCAGGGGTGTCACTAGCACGTTAAGAGACCATACAATAAGTGTCAGGGGCCCGAGACTGTTCAACTGCCTCCCAGCACACATAAGGGGGATTACCAACAGACCCCTGGCAGTCTTCAAGCTGGCACTGGACAAGCACCTAAAGTCAGTTCCGGATCAGCCGGGCTGTGGCTCGTACGTTGGTTTGCGTGCAGCCAGCAGCAACAGCCTGGTTGATCAGGCTCTGATCCACCAGGAGGCCTGGTCACAGACCGGGCCGCGGGGGCGTTGACCCCCGGAACTCTCTCCAGGTAAACTCCAGGTAATAAGTAATTACTGCACAAATGTTGAACTGTGATGGGTTCTAAGTAGATATGCTTATAACTTATGTTATAAGTATATTTATAACTTATGTTACAAGTACATTTATAACTTATGTTGTAAGTATATATATAAGTTATGTTATAAGTATATTTATAACTTACGTTATAAGTATACAGTGGACCCCCGCATAACGATCACCTCCCAGTGCGACCAATTATGTAAGTGTATTTATGTAAGTGCGTTTGTACGTGTATGTTTGGGGGTCTGAAATGGACTAATCTACTTCACAATATTCCTTATGGGAACAAATTCAGTCAGTACTGGCACCTGAACATACTTCTGGAATGAAAAAATATCGTTAACCAGGGGTCCACTGTATTTATAACTTATGTTATAAGTATATTTATAACTTATGTTATAAGTATATTTACTTAGAACACATTACAGTTCAATATACATTTGTACAGTATTTACCTATGATAACATTTGTACAGTATTTACCTATGATAACATTTGTACAGTATTTACCTATGATAACATTTGTGCAGTATTTACCTATGATAACATTTGTGCAGTATTTACCTATGATAACATTTGTGCAGTATTTACCTATGATAACATTTGTGCAGTATTTACCTATGATAACATTTGTGCAGTATTTACCTATGATAACATTTGTGCAGTGTCATGCCCCTATGGTTAACCTTCCTTTAATATTACATTGCGGTCATTTCCTTTAATAGCTAAATTGGAAATGAACGTCCTTGTATTATTAAGATTAATTCTTATTAACAATTATAATTTATGTAACATGGCCATGATAAGTTTAATTGGAGCTATAGTAACCTGCCTGCCGCCCGGTGTGCCGGTGTGTAGTTAGCCGTGATGTTTGATGGTTATACCCCCCTTCCCCCCCCCCCCTTTATGTTCAACTACTCTACTGAGTGTTGGTGAGTCACGTCACGTGACCCACTTTACCTGTATGCTCAAGGTTGAGGGACGAGCAGTGAAGAAGTAGCAGCCAACGAGAACACTCCTGCTCGTCTCTGGTAACTGGCCAAGATTTATTAGCCGGCCTGGACATATTCTGTTTTATTCTGACTGCTTCCAATTGGGAACAAGACTTTAATGTATAAAGTAATCTCCATTTATATATATGTTATATCTAGGATTCCTCCTAATCCTCTGTTTTGAAAGCCTTATGTATATGTTTGGATACTACAGAAGAAACATGTATTCTTAACTTATATACGATAATCGTATATTATAACTGGCTTTTGTTATATTATGAAATATACTTAATTAAAATTAGGCATTCCGAGGATCATTATTATTACCCTAACCTCTCTGACCAAAATTGTTATGCTCTAAAAAAGGAAATAGTTTTTAAACAATACTTGGAGTGTAACAAGTGGGGGCCTGTGTCCGGGAGCATAACACTGAATTTCCTTTAAAATGAATGTAGAAATGGCAGAGAGGTTTGAAGATATAACAAAGGAGAAATTACAAAATTTGAAGCTTCATCTTGTTGGCAATTAGCACGAAGCTTGGGCATAAA